TGCTCAGTAAGACTTAATATGTATGCCTGGATACATGAGTTTCTGGTGGGGGTTGGAGGGAGCATGAACTGGGGAGGGGGTCTAAAGTTTTTTTGTTTTTGTTTTTGTCTTTTTGAGACAGGGTTACCCTGTAGCCCCAGCTGGCCTGGAACTCACAGAGATCTGCCTGCCTCTGCCTCCCGAGTGCTGGGACTAAAGGTGTGTGCCACCACGACCAGCAAGGGGATCTAAATTTGATTAAAAACTTGTATGAAATGTACAAAAACTCAATAAAAATTTTTTTTTAAAAGGAAGATTATCCACCATGATCAAATAAGCTTTATTCCAAAGATGCGGGGATGGTTCAATATACATAAGTCAATAAATGTTATAAATCATAAAAATGGACTCAAAGACAAATATCATATGATTATCTAAATAGACACCGTGCTGGATAGCTTTAGTGTCAACTTGACACACCTGGGTTGAGGAAGCCTCAATCGGGGAATTGCCTTTATTGGACTGGCCTGTGGCCATGTCTGAAGGGCATCTTCTTGATGAGTGATGTGTGAGAGGGCCCAGCCCACTGTGGGTGGTGCCACCCCTGGGCAGGTGGGCCTGTGTTGCATAAGAAAGAAGGCTGAGCAGGGGCCAGGGGAGCAAGCCAGTAAGCAGCATTCCTCCATGGCCTGTGTTCCGGCTCCTGCCTCCAGGTTCCTGCCCTGAGTTCCTACCTTGGGCTCCCTGATGAACTGTGACTTGGGAGATGTAAGCTGAATAAACCCTTTCCTTCGCAAGTTGGTAGTGGTCAGCGTGTTTTGTCACAGCAATGAAGAAACAAACCAGGACAGATACAGAAAAGGCCTTTGACAAAATTCAACATTCGTTTATTTTTAAAGTCCTAGAGGGGATTGGACTGGAGGGACTATACCTCAGCATAATTAAATACAACAAACCCATGGCCAACATCATTCTAAATAGAAAAAAAACACTGGAAGCATTCCCATTAAAATCAGACAGGGCTGTCCACTATCTCCACTCCATTTCAATATAGTGTTTGAAACTCTTGCCAGAGCAATAAGACAAGAGAATGAAATTAAAGGAGTATTAATCAGAAAAGGTCAAATTATGCCTATTTGCAGATGATATGACATTATATCTAAGAGATCCCAAAACTTCTGCCAGAAAACTCATAGAAATATTTAGCACTTTCAGTAAAGTGGTAGTTTACAAAACTATTCTACAAAAATCAGTAGCCTTTCTATACACCAATAACAAGCAATTGGAGAAAGAGTACAGGGAAACCCTCCCATTCACAATAGCCTCAAAAACAATCTCAGAATAAACATGACCAAAGACATTAAAGATCTGTACATTGAAAATTTTAAATCTTTAAAGAAAGAGATTGAGGAAGACACCACAAGATGGAAGGACTGCCCATGCTCATGAAGTAGAAGAATTAGTATTGTGAAAATGACCATCCTACCAAATCAATGTATAGATTCAGTGCAATCCAATCAAACCTCCATACATTCTTCACAGAAATTTAAAAAAAAAAAAGCGCATTCTAAAATTCAAGCGGAATCAAAAAGACCCCGGATAGCCAAAGCAATCCTGAGTCCAAAGAGCAATGCTAGGGGGATTACCATACCAGATCTCAAATTATATTACAGAGCTTCAGTCATCAAAACAGCACGTTAATGCTGGGCATGATGACACACACCTTTAATCCCAGCACTTGGGAGGCAGAGGCAGGCAGATCTCTGTGAGTTCAAGGCCAGTCTGGTCTACATAGTGGCTACATAGTAGCCAGCTGGGGCTACTGGCAGACCCTGTCTCAAAAAGACCAAAAGAAACCCCAGCATGTTAGTGGCACAAATATATAGACACATAAATACAGATCAATGGAATGTAGCGGAAGACCCAAACACGAGTACATGCAATTTCTGCCATGTGTTATTTGACAAAGGTACCAAGAACATGTTCACTGGAGGAACGACAGCATCTTCAACAAGTGGTGCTGGCAAAACTGGATCTCCACCTGTAAAAGACTGAAACTAGACCCTTATCAAATGGAGCAAAGACCTTAATGTGAAATCTGAAACCCTGAAAGTGTTAGAAGAAAACATAGGCAGTACCCTAGAAGATACATATGTAGGAAAGGACTTTCTAAATTGGGCATCAGCTCAGATTAAGGTCATCAACAAGTGGGGCCTCATTAAACTAAAAAGTTTCTGTACTGCAAAAAACAAACAAACAAAAAAAAAAACAAAAAAAAAAACAAAAACAAGAAATGAAGAGAAAACCCACACGGTGGGGGAAAATCATCACCAGTGACACATCTGACAGAAGACTGATATTCAGAATATAGAAAGAACTCAAAAAACAAGAATCAAGAAAACAATTGACTCGATTAAAAGTTGGGCTATGGATCTGAACAGAAAGTTCTTAAAAGAACAAATAAAGCAACAGAATGCATGAACTCCAGCGGGGGGGAGCACAGGAACATGCTTACGGGAAAGGGAGTATTAAGAGGACCAAGATGTTGTGTATGAAATATACAAAAATTCAATTAAAATATATTTAATAAAATTCTTCTTGCATACCGTTATAGAGAGGGTGATGTATTCAAAAAACTAAATGAATGTGATGCCACAAAACTAGTATATTTGGCAGAACAAATGTATAATTCATGTGATGAAGAAATTAAGAGTCTTTCAGACAAAAGTTCATTAGCAGTCACTGATCTACAGTAATTGCTTAGTGAATTATTAAGGTTTAAAAGAAAGTTCTAGAAAGTAATTTGAAAATTATAACATCCCCTAGCAAAGTTAAAAATGTGGACAAACTGTCATAATTTTGGTCTATGAATTCACTTTTATGTTTTGTATTATATTTAAAGAATGGAAATAAAGACAAAACTAAAAATGCATGTAGTGAGTGTTCAATACAAAAAATATGTTGTGCTGTTAGTTTAGAAACAAACTAAAGTCACCTTGGAAGAGGAAACATCAACTGAGGAATGGCCTCCACTGGGTATGTCTAGAAGACATTTTCTTGATTCTTAATTGGTATGGGAAGGTCCAACCAACTGTGTGCAGTGTCTCCTAGGAAGTAGGACTAGACTATAAACACAAAAGTTGCTGAGCAAGCCAAGAGGAAGCCAGCCAGTCACCAGCCTTCCTCCATGGTGTCTGCTTGAGTTCCTGTCTCAAGTTCCTGTGCTGAGTTCCTGCCTTGACTTCCCTTGAAAATATACTGTGAGCTGTAAGCCAAATAAACTCTTTTGTCCATGAGTTTCTTTGGGTCATGGAGTTTATCGCAGAAACAGAAAAGCAAACTAAAACATAAGCAATTTGTGATATCAATCATATATATAATCATATAGTTGATTATAGATGTATAAAGAGTAGGATTTGGTATATAACTCAAATTAAGCTTTATTATTTCATGATAAACTTGAATTTTAAAGATATTTCATACAAGTGCAATAGTAATAAAAATAATCTGTGGAATTCGCAGGTAAGGGAAGAGAGTGAAAGAATATCACCAAAGTTAATAAAACACAGAAGACAGACCAAGGAAATGAGAGACAAAAACATCTAAGATTACTATCACGTATCCTAAAAAGGGCAGAAAAATAACCTATGAGACAGTTAACAAAAGATTAACATTACATGTTCCCTACCGCCAATTCCTTTTAATGTAAGTGGATTAAACTCTAACCAAGGAATAGATCAGCAGAATGAGGTTTTAAAAACAGAATAGCTACATGTAAAAGAACGTTAAATTGGACCCTTATATTTTTCTACCTCTAAAAATTGGCTGAAAATGGGTTAAAACTCCTAGGCAGGAAGTACACAGATATAAAAGCAGAAGGCAACCAGGGACAAGATTTACGACACTGATTCCATCAAAATCTAAAGTCGCAGGAGGGAAACAAAACAAATGAGACTCTCACTGTCTGAACATCCCTGTTCCGCTGTGCAAGATCAAACCCAAGGAAAGACAACCACAAATAGGAATAGGACAAAATATTTGCAAATGACTTTTGATAAAAGATTAACCTAGGTTATAGAAAACCCAGAACTCAACAACAAAGCACTAAGCTACCTTAAAGACAGGAAAATACTTGAACAGAGATTTCTCCAAATACTAAAGTCCAACAAGTATATGAGCTGGCCGTCATCATTAATCACTGTGAGAACACAAATCAAAAGCAAAGTGGTAAGATGTCACACCCATTAGGATGCACCATCAACTAAAACAGAAGAGAAAATGAGTTTCAGTGAGAATGTGGCTAATAAATTGTAAACCAGCAGCAAAACCTCTATAGAAATTACATGATGGTCCTCAAAATAGTAATAATAAAACCGATTCATGATCCAGCAAGCTGACTTCTGGGTAGACAGCTGGTTAGTTGCCTGCACTACCATGTCTACAACAGCATCCCGCATAACAGCAAAGATGGACATAACCACGAGTCCATTGATAGAGGATGAAAAATGATGGCAAAGACTTACAACAGTGTTCAGTCATAAAACGGGAAAATTTTTACACATTATGGCCTAGACAAACCTTAAGGACATTATACAACATGAAGTCAGTCAGTCAGAGAAAGACACATGTAGAGTCTTTCATTTACATGAGAACTATAAAGTTGTTATAACAACAGAAGCAGAGAATAAGATTGGTACCTACTAGGGACAAAAGAGAAATTGTTTGATGAAGAGCTTCAGCTTTAAAAGGTGAAAAGCTCTTGACATTTATTTGACAATATTGTGTATGATTAACACTACAGAACTGTACCCTTAGAGTGGTTAAGATAAAAAATTTAGGTGTTTTCCTCAACAAAGCAAGCTCTTCTTGTGAGTTAAAAGTGAGTAAAAGCCTAAAAAAAATTAAATTTTTGCCAAAAATGTATGGTGGAGACATTATGCTTCTTTTTCCTTTATTGACATGGGCATAGACATTATAAACTCAATGTTATATTGAAGAGATGGGAATGACAGAATGCATACCACAGCAATTCCTGCAGAAAACTTTGGATTGCAGGCTGTCCCACGATACGTTGCTCCTATATAAGCAGGAAGGTCCATATACCTAGATTAAAATTTTTGTTATTATACATATTTCAAAATACTACTACCAATGACATTTAAAAATTGGGTTTCTGGAAGTTATCCAATTCTTTAAAAACATGAGACTATTATACATTTTGCTGTTAATTATTTATAAATTATAAAAACAATCAAATGGGATTTCCCCCATACTTCATATGATGTTAAGTTCTAAGGGATATTTAAGAGTCTAGTATCCCCCAAAATCAAGCCTCAGGATTCTCATCATTAGATGGAGATCGACTTTAAAATCTAAAAGTCAATGTTGTTTATTGTCAAGATTTTCATATAGTGAACACATCCTAAAAATGTGTACAAAATGTTGGGGTAGAGGGGAGAGAGAGGTGCACCAAGAAAATCAGAGGCAGTGTGCAGAAACTGTCCTCCACAAACTATTCCACCAGTGCTGCCTTCGAATTCCTGATCCTGGCCTTAGACTCAGCAGGAGGCATTGGTAGATGTGTAAGCTTATTCTATATTACTTTAAATTGTCACAACTGCACTTCTTATATTTATATGCAAAGCCAATAAGTAAAACAAGAATGTTGTCTTCAGAGACACAGGGCAAGAAGCTAAAGGCTGTGCTTCAGGTCAGTAAAGAAAACACAGGAAGTAGCCACAAGTGTGGCTAACCAGCAGGTCCACTTCAGTTCAGGTCAACCAGCAATAGAGGTAATGATTGCACTTTCATAACGTTCTTCTCGTGGCTGCAGCCCTTTCCCTGCAAGATCTTTATAAACTCAGAGGCCCCGTGTTCACCCCTGCTCACGCAGGAGCCTCTCCACAAGCTACTGACCTCACGGGGGAGCACAGCAGGATGGGTTCCATCCTGTGTGAGCAGATCTTATCTCTTCCATCTTGCTGGAATAGTATTCACCTCAATCTTTTTCAAAGTTGCCATAAAATTATATGCACATGATTTTGGTAGCTGACATATTAAACAATTTGATAAACCTTTGTAAATAAAGTACTCACAGCAGTAAGTATGTCATCTCATTAAGTTTTTGTAACCCATTTGCATTTTTCTGTTTCCATGACAAAAAATTTTGTAGCACTTCATCAGCATCCCCATTCGTTGAAATCTTATTTTTATCTGACCAGATTTCCAAAGACGTTAGCATTATCATCATTTTCAGCTGGGAAAACATCTAAAACGAGCAGATAGTCTGGTTGCCCATCATCGTCTGTACATGATGTTATCACATTCAACTTAGTGCTTGTGGAGATAACCCAACTCATTGATGGAAGCACTTGGTAGGAGTGCACATTCCATATAAACACAAAGTTGTTTACACAAACCATGTTAATGGATTAACATTAGTCTCTCATCTAAGTTAAAACAGAAGTACTCACAGTATTGATAAGACCAAAGATATGGACAACTTTCTGAGTTGCAGCTCCCATCTCAGAGCCCATGTAATCATACTGAAAGACAAATTTTATTTCTTAGTCACTATTATAAACGATTAAACAATAACATACTTATTTATACAGCTTTAAATATGGAAGTTAAAATAATGCAATACTCAACTGAAGAGGCAAAATAAACATTAAGTGCTTATTGTTTTTTAAACATAACTCTGGTGTGCTGGATAGCTTTAGTGCCAACTTGATACACCTGGGTTAAGGGAGCCTCAATTGGAGAATTGCCTCCATTTGACTGGCCTGTGGGCATGTCTGTGGGGGCATCTTCTTGACTGTTGAGTGATGTGGGAGGGCTCAGACCACTGTGGGTGGTGCCACCCCTGGGCAGGTGGGCCTGTGTTGTATGAGAAAGCAGGATGAGCAGGGACCAGGGAGCAAGCCAGTAAGCAGTGTTCCTCCATGGCCAGTGCTCCAGCTCCTGCCTCCAGGTTCCTGCCCTGAGTTCCTACCTTGGGTTCCCTGATAAACTATAACAAAGGAGATTTAAGATAAAATAAACCCTTTCCTCCCCAAGTTGGTATTGATCAGAGAGCATTTTGTCACAACAATGGAGAAACAAACTAGAACAGAAATTGGTACCAGAGAGTGGGGCACTGCTGTGATGCCCGACCTTGGTGTTTTTAGGGTTGTGGAAGCATTTGGAACTTTGGGCTAGAAAAGACTTTGAGAGCTTAGAGTTTGTTGCTGTGGAATTTGGAACAGTTACGCTGAAAGAGTTGTAGACAATGGAGGCCTGGCTTGTGAAGCTTCAAAGGGAAGCAGAGACCATCAGGACTGTCTGTGTGATATTTTGAATTGAATTGAGAATCTGTGTGTTCTGGTCTGCTGGGGCTGAAGAATCAGCTGTGATTAAGAAGAGACCAGAACCTGAAGCAAAATCTTTGCTTTACTGGGACAATTGATGATGCTTAGCTGGGGCTGAAAACTCATTTCTAAGTAACCAGAGACCAGCATCACCATGGAGAAATCTTCTAGGGAGTGTTTCTTCAGGGTCTGCACACAGAGGCTGTGGTCAAGAGTGGGCCCAGACCTCGATGTCTACCTGGAAGCAGGACTTGGTAATGTGTAAGAGTTTCTTGCACGTTTCTGGTGTTGAAAGCATGAAAGAGTCACAGAGAGCAGCTGAGGCTTGGCAATCTGAGAGGCCAGGAAAAGCCACTGGTGAAAGTGCAGCCTCAGTTGCAGTGAAGACCCCAGTATTGAAGGGATCATGGAGAGACTCTGAGGCCTTTGCACCCCAACAGGCAAGAAGAGGCCATCGGTGAAGATGCAGCCTAAGTTTCAGTGGAGACCTCAGCTTTTTGGAGATGCCTAGACCATGGGACGGCCACCAAGGACAGCAGTAGGTGTGGAATGGGGCTGACCTGGGTCTGTGAGATGAGCTGTGTGTGCTGTGGATGGCAGAGTCAGAGAAGTGGAGCTGCCAGAACCCTTTGGAGCCCAGAAGATCATGAATGAATCCCAGATGTCCAGCCTCGAGCTCCTTTGCTGAACTTTAATTTTACTTGGGTATGCCTGATTCTTCCCTTTGAAATAAGAACTTGTTTTCAATTTTAAAGAAACCCACAGTTAAGAGAACTTTAAAAGAGACTATGGACTTTTAAGGGTTTGGATTTTTTAAAGACTGTGGGACTTTTAAGGTTGTACTCTCTTATGTTGTAATAGTAACATCATATCTTGGGGACAAGAATTGGAAAGGTTATGGAAACAGTGAAGAGTTTGTGTGTCAAGTTGACAAGGGGTCGATTGTGTTAGATAGCTTTAGTGTCAAATTGACACACCTGGTTTGTGGGAGCCTCAACTGGGGAATTTCCTCCACTGGACTGGCCTGTGGCCATGTCTGTGAGGCATCTTCTTGCTTGCTGAGTGATGTGGGAGGGCCCAGCCCACTGTGTGTGGTGCCACCCCTGGGCAGGTGGACCTGTGTTACATAAGAAAGCAGGCTGAGCAGGGGCCGGGGAAGCAAGTCAGTAAGCAGTGTTCCTCCATGGCCAGTGCTCCAGCTC